GACACTAGTTGGTGGAATCCCTTGGGAGGCGGTTCTGAAGGGCAGAGGGGTCCAGGAAGACTGGGCGCTCTTCAAGAGGCAAATCCTAATGGCGCAGGAGCGGTCTGTTCCCATGTGCCCAAAGATGAGCCAGCGGGGAAGAAGACCAGCCTGGCTGAACAGAGAACTGTGGCTTGAGCTTAGGAGAAAAAAGAGGGTTTATAATCTTTGGAAAAGTGGACAGGCCACTAGGGAAGACTATAAGGATGTAGCGAGGCTGTGCAGGGACAAAATTAGGAAGGCCAAAGCTCATCTGGAGCTCAATCTGGCTACTGCCATTAAAGATAACAAAAAACGCTTTTATAAATACATCAACACAAAAAGGAGGACTAAGGAGAATCTCCATCCTTTACTGGATGCGGGGGGAAACTTAGTTACAAGAGATGAGGAAAAGGCAGAGGTGCTCAATGCCTTCTTTGCCTCAGTCTTTAGCGGCAATACCGGTTGTTCTCTGGATACCCAGTACCCTGAGCTGGTGGAAGGGGATGGGGAGCAGGATGTGGCCCTCACCATCCACGAAGAACTGGTTGGTGACCTACTACGGCTCTTGGATGTGCACAAGTTGATGGGGCCGGATGGGATCCACCCAAGGGTACTGAGAGAACTGGCAGAGGAGCTGGCCAAGCCCCTATCCATCATTTATCAGCAGTCCTGGCTATCGGGGGAGGTCCCAGCTGACTGGCGGCTAGCAAATGTGATGCCCATCTACAAGAAGGGCCGGAGGGCTGACCCGGGGAACTACAGGCCTGTCAGTTTGACCTCAGTACCAGGGAAGCTCATGGAGCAGATCCTCTTGGGAGTCATCATGTGGCACTTGAAGGGCAAGCAGGTGATCAGGCCCAGTCAGCATGGGTTTATGGAAGGCAGGTCCTGCTTGACGAACCTGATCTCGTTCTATGACAAAGTGACGTGCTGGGTGGATGAGGGAAAGGCTGTGGATGTGGTCTACCTTGACTTCAGCAAGGCATTTGACACTGTCTCCCACAGCATTCTCCTCAAGAAACTGGCTGCTCTTGGCTTGGACTGGCACACGCTTCCTTGGGTTAGAAACTGGCTGGATAGCCGGGCCCAAAGAGTCGTGGTAAATGGAGTCAAGTCCAGTTGGAGGCCAGTCACTAGTGGCATCCCCCAGGGCTCGGTGCTGGGGCCGGTCCTCTTTAACATCTTCATCAATGATCTGGACGAGGGCATTGAGTGCACCCTCAGTAAGTTTGCAGGTGACACCAAGTTAGGTGTGTGTGTCGATCTGCTCGAGGGTAGGAAGGCTCTGCAGGAGGATCTGGATAGGCTGCACCGATGGGCTGAGGTCAACTGCATGAAGTTTAACAAGGCCAAGTGCCGGGTCCTGCACCTGGGGCGCAATAACCCCAAGCAGAGCTACAGGCTGGGAGATGAGTGGTTGGAGAGCTGCCAGGCAGAGAAGGACCTGGGAGTGATGGTGGACAGTCGGCTGAATATGAGCCAGCAGTGTGCTCAGGTGGCCAAGAAGGCCAACGGCATCCTGGCTTGTATCAGAAACAGCGTGACCAGCAGGGCTAGGGAGGTGATCGTCCCCCTGTACTCGGCTCTGGTGAGGCCACACCTCGAGTACTGTGTTCAGTTTTGGGCCCCTCGCTACAAGAAGGACATCGAGGTGCTTGAGCGGGTCCAGAGAAGGGCAACGAAGCTGGTGAGGGGCCTGGAGAACAAGTCCTACGAGGAGCGGCTGAAGGAGCTGGGCTTGTTCAGCCTGGAGAAGAGGAGGCTCAGGGGCAACCTTATCGCTCTCTACAGATACCTTAAAGGAGGCTGTAGTGAGGTGGGGGTTGGCCTGTTCTCCCACGTGCCTGGTGACAGGACGAGGGGGAATGGGCTAAAGTTGCGCCAGGGGAGTTTTAGGTTAGATGTTAGGAAGAACTACTTTACTGAAAGGGTTGTTAGGCACTGGAACAGGCTGCCCAGGGAGGTGGTGGAGTCACCATCCCTGGAGGTCTTTAAAAGACGTTTAGATGTAGAGCTTAGGGATATGGTTTAGTGGGGACTGTTAGTGTTAGGTTAGAGGTTGGACTCGATGATCTTGAGGTCTCTTCCAACCTAGAAATTCTGTGATTCTGTGTAAAGGAGAAACAGCGTGATTCACCTGTCTTTTTTTTATTCATACCAGACTGGGTGCTAAATTAAATTTCTGCATGTTATCGGTGAGAGCAAAAACCTTTATTGTTTTTAAGATTGTGCTAGTTTATGAAAGGAATTCCATAACGCAGCTCTGCATAATCAAGATCTAGTTGCAGTGACCCAGGAGACCATTTACAGTTCTGTGTCTGTAGAGCTAATATTTAAAAGGCAGAACCATAATGGAGACGAATGATTTTTTTTTTTTCTAGACATCTGGAAAAAAATAGCTCTACTTCATAAACTGAATGCCTTTGATAACTCTTTTGAAATGTGCTGAGAGTATTTACTCACAGTGGAAGATCCTTAACCTGGCACTGAATCATCCATCCCTGAATGCTCAATCTGATTAGAGAAGTCAAGATGGTTTTCTCAGTGTCATCTAAGTAGGCAAGACTCAAGCATCATTATTTGACATACAATTCTCAACCACTCCCATGACCTTGTCTGTGAACTTCTGGTCAATCAGATGAAGCTCCTCATCTTTCCTACATGAAAAGCAGGGAAGAGAGATTGTTCTGTGAGTTTTGAAAGTGTTCATTTCTTATTATTGTGTTGCAACTGGGAGAATTTCAAAGAAAAGCTGAATACTTGATGTACTCTGGAGATGGCTCTGTATGGTCAATGAGAGGAACAGCACTAGGTGTATCTGTAAGGCTGAGAAAAGACATGTCGTTCTGGATTTTGTGCTGCACTTATCTTGGGTGCAAAGATGAGGCAAACAGTCCAGCATACAAATAATTCATTGTTCTGCAAGCGAGGATCAGAATCTTAAAGCATCACCATTCACTTAACATAGAAGGATGCCTTACTGTTGTTTTTTTAATATGGTCTTATATGCTTTTTATCTTACCATTAGAGTCCATGGTCTGGTCGTTACCAGTAGATCAAACTTAAGAGATTTTCGGTTCACAGGAAATGCGCTCCTACAGCTTGGATTTTTATTCTACATTTAAACTAAAACTCCTGTTTTTGATAAAATGTTTCAGAAAATCATTTTTGGATAAATTGAATTACTGTACTCAAAGTAAACATTTTGTCTTTTGATTTTGAATTATGAGATATACATTAAACATTTCATGAGAGTTGAAAAACAAACTATCTATAAACAAAAAACATTTCATTTGAAATTAACAACTGTCACAGGAAGTTGTGATTTTAAACAAATTAACATTTTCTTAGAAACACACCCTACTAGACAATACCTGACTGTTTCAGTTGTTATTAAGTAGAGTAAAACCGTCTTGATGAATGGTTGGATGTTGACAGAGAAATATTTTGATTTCACTCCAATGACTCAGGTAATGTGTGGCAAAGCAGTAGTTATGAAAACAAATCAAATTGCAGTCTATGTAAAATGAGAAGAGCTAGTTATTTTTTCTATCTTTTGGTTTGTTTTTCTTCTGCTCTTTCTGTATTTTATATGAAATCATGATGCAAATATGAAATCTCTGAGAACAGTTTTTGTTTGCATACAGATATTGTGAAATAAATATATAAACAAATCACATTAATTAGAAAAGATTAAATTACATCCTTTTAACTATCCTTTGATTCATGAGCAGTGCTTAAATTAAATTAATTATAGATGCAGTTTATAAAAGGAATTGAGCCTAAAGCTGTGCTACCCGGTTCGTTTCAAAACCAATTTGATGTGCTGTTCTTCCTGTGATCATTTGTTTTATGATTTGAGAACTGTCTATGGCAGAAACAAGAGCAGTTGTCTGCAGTGGAGGCAGATCCCCGCTGCCTTGAGTTCAATGTGCAGCTCCACGGGTGTGCCAGAGCATCCTTGCTAAGCAAAGCTCCTGGAAAGGCTGTTAGGTGTTCCTGGGATGTGAGGTTTGGAGCAGTTCCTATGTAAAAGTTTGATATCAGGCGTTATTCAGTATGTAGGGTCAGGCAGCCCCAGACCCTACCCTCCTTGCGACTTGCAGTGCAAACCAGCTGTAGTGCTTCACTTCAGTTTGAGACTAGGTGTAAAACCTCTTCCCTCCAAGCAGTCCCCCCATGTGGGTGCCACATGGCAACCTCCCTCAAGGAAAGTAAATGGCTCCCAGTATCATTACTGGGGGTGAAGGTTAAAGAGGTTAAAGCCTCAGATGGGATAAGTCAGCATAAAGAATCATTTCTCTGGTTCTGGAAAGATAAGACAACTAAAACACCACATGATGACCCAGAGGTCTTCAGCTGGCTGAAACTCCTCCTGCTAAGTTGGTGTCTAAGGAGCAACAGTAGTTTACACAAGCTGAGGCATGGGGATAAGACAGGTAGGGACAGAGGGATAAAAAGTACAACTGAGCTCTTGGAACACAAAACGTAGTTTGATGTAGAACTCTATTTAATTTGTCAGTTTGGACTGAAAGTAGCTATCAAGTTTGTTTATAATGGTAAGGACAGAAATTCATCAAAGTGAGCTTTTCTCAGTCTCTGCTTTATATCTGTAGTAGAAGTGAAAAATAAGCAGTGTACGTGAAATAAGTTGCTTGATGCAGCTAGTAGCTTTATGTTAGTATATTTTAAAACAAATAACTTATAGGTTTCATTTTTTAAGGGGGGTTATTAGTATCATATGTCACCCATAAAATTTATAATTGATTAATTAGCAAACAAAAGAGCAGCAGATTCTTTAGCAGCTGTTGCTTAACCCACAGGAAGCAAACAGCCTGAGCTGCTAATACAGCATTCATCTGTGTTGAAATTAGAAAACTGGGGTCTCAGGTTTACTGAGAGTCAATTAGCCTTTTCGTGTTGTAGCTGGAGATTATATATTTACCACTGCAGTGTGACTGACAGGGATTTCTTGACAGATTTCTTGTAGTGGCCTTTCAGCTGAGGTAAGTGTGCTGCCCTAGGACCACCTGCCCACACCTTGGGTGCCCCCATCCAGCACTCTCTGTCTGCCTGTCCTGTCCTGAGCTGTGAGTATCTTGTTCTTTTTATGGGGTATTACTCAATGGTCACTCAGTTTAAGAATCTTTAGGCATGTAACTGTTTCATGTAGAAATGTGAGATCCTTCCTCGAGAATGATTTTTCAGTGATATTTCTAATCAAATGAACAGCCCATGTGCTGTTCGTTGATGACATACCAGGTGACTAGGAGTACCCACCCAAGAGTAGGCCAGCTGGGACCAAGCTACCTCTGCCCTGCCCTAGCTGCAGGAGGGCAACCAGACCCAGCTTTTCTGTATCACATCTGGGTGCCTGACCCAATTCTGTGCTCCTTGGAGAACCCAGCAGGTGTTACCTTGGATCCCGAGGAGGCTGATTATAGAGGTACCACTCAAAATGCTCAGAGGAAGATTTTTTAAATATGGGCAGATGCACCAAACGCTTCCTAGCTCAGCATTGTGCAAGCAGCAACTTCTTTGAGGACCTGGTTCTTCCTGAGCTGTTGGGGCTGTAAGTGATCCTTCATTTGTTTTTCTCTCTAAATGTGGTATGTTTTGCTGTGTTCAGCCTGGCTGTATGGGATCTTGCTGAAAATCAGCATTTGGAATCATGTAGGAGAAAGATGATTTGAAGCTAGGCAATGTTCTTATGTTTCTCTTTTGGAGTTTTTTGCAGCAACAAAGGAACTGGTTGTCCTAAGTTCATCTATATGCTGTAAAAGTTATCTAAATTGTCTCAGTGCAAGAACATAGAATATGTAACTTGTGAAATTTCAAAAATATTCTTAGGAGATGAAAAAAAATCTTTGTGTGACTTTACTAACAATAACTTGATCTGTTGGTGCATTTTCATAGTTTTTCCTCTATTTACATGTACATATATATATATATATTATATATATATATATATATATATATACAAACTTTGATAATAAGACGATGATGGACTGAGGGTTACTTGTAAAATGTTTTTTATCTTTTGTCACTTGTAACAGTCATCAATTGTAATTGTGCAAGTACAGGAAAATAAAGTAGATATCTAAGGTGATTAAGATGGTCTTTAAAGCAGTATTAGGAAGACTTACCTTGTGAAGAGTTGTATTTTTCTTGGATATTTTTTAGTGTAATTTTTTTGGTTTTACTCCTTAGGCTATGGGTTTATTTTTTTGTTTGTTTTTACAAATAGTTAATAGAGAACTTGTCGTGCATTTCAGGAGTAAAATGCAGTTGTTTCAACCTGCTAGGATTTGACATTATCTTTTAAATAACTTCCCTTTCAACCTACTTCTTTTGACAGTTTGGCTGTCCTACTTTCGCTAATAGGAAACAAAAATGTATTCTTTATTTATAAAATGTAACACCACACAACTTTTGAAAATTCTACTGCACTTCGTCTTTATTGCTCTCTTTAAGGAGTACTACTACAAAAGAAATATGTGCTTGCAGCTGTTATGCTGTAAAATGTGCCTCTTGAATGAAAAACTTCAGACTTGTACAAAAGAAAGTTAAAAGTTAATATTATGCTTAGTTGTGCATAGTGCGTATAAACTGAATGAGGGTGTTCTTTTTCATTTTTTCATATAAATATTTTCTCTACACTTCATGTTATTTGTCTCAGAAGGTGATTGTTATATATGTTGTATTTTCAGTGAGGTTTGCTAATCTAAGATCCTAATGCTTCACAAACATTAATGAACTTGTTTTCATATTGTTCATTTTCCCTGTATGTATAAAAAAAGTGATAAAACAGGTAAGCTAAAATGACTATCAAAATCTCTGGCTGCGGAGAAAGTGTGGTATTGGATTACAATTCTCTGGGCAAACTTGCATATAAAATACTTGATTAATATTGTCATCTGCTTTAATTACACTGGATTAGAGAAGTATTAGTGCAAGTAACACATCATCTTTGAGTAGATGTAGTTATATGGCAGCAAGATACTTGTAGCGTACAGTTTGCTCTGATACGATCGCAACAAAAGGCTATGCTTCTAAAAGAACAATCATGCTAACGTTACTATATCCTCCTTAGGATTATAACTGTATGTTTAATGCAATTTTGTATTAGTACGGTTGTTTGTAATTTGATTTCCAGTGTTGAATCCTCACCTCCAACTAGTGATGTGGCTTCCCTTGGGGCTATATTTTCTTTATCTTTTCAAATTCTGGATTTAGTATGTGTATACGGCATTATTTTCATGTTTCTCAGTGGGATCGTTTCTGTTACTTGATCGCTTCTTTCTAATCCTCATGCTTTCCTCTCTCTAATCCTTGTGTTTTGCCATAAAACAGAACACTGTCATAGATGACTTTGTCCTTTATTATGTGATGTGACTTTCCAAGTAAAACAGTGATTTTTTTTCTTAGGTGTGTTTTTTGTGATATTTTTTGGCTGGCTTTGTGGTTTTATTTTATCAAAATTGATATACACTCTGACACTGATAACCACTGACTGTTGGTATCACTTGTAAGATCTTGTAACAACTGTTGTGGGCCTATTATTTATCACTTAAAACCATGTTTTGTTTGCAGGAAGTGTTTCTCCAAAGTATTTGTGTGCTTCCATTAACTGATGTAAGTGATGTAAGTATTTAGGGCAGTAATGCTATGGAAATACAAGTTTTGATGAAGCTGAAAAGTGAAGTTTTTTTTCCAGCTATTTTGGCTGTGTATGAGGTTATGCAGTTAGTGCTTTTTCTAAACTGGCCAGATTTGATCTAGCTCAGAAATGTTTGCGTTGCTACAGCTAGCTAGTTGCCTCCATTTGCATGCATGTGGAGAGGAGCAGCTGCAGAGGAAAATCTATTGCAGTTCAGAGAGTCTGAAGGAAAATGTGGGTGTTCCTTAATTAGAATAATACCATGATTTGAGGATAAAATGTATTCAGCTCTGGCAGCTCTTCGTCCTCCCTTGTTTTACAGAGTGCTGGCACAAATCTCCATGCGATTGCTGTTAACTGGATTCAGGCTTTTCTTTCTTTTTTCCCTCATCTCCTTTGTTTAGACTGTTTTTTACCTATATATGATGAGATTCCCAGAATGCACGTGCAGAAGAATGACTTGGCTTGGAAAGTGCGAGCAGGAGCAGCCCAGAAGGCAGCAACTTTGTGGGTGCGCTTGACAAATACTTTGTGTTGTCAATTTACACCCTAAAGTGCATAAGCAGGTCCTTTGTAAACCTGTGGATGCTGTCAAGCCTGAGGCAAGTAATATTTTGGAAGTGAAGAAGTTTAAAACAAGTACTTCAACTGAGCTTGAGCAGTGTTTGGCCTGTGCTGATTTCGTTGGATGGTTGGATTTCGGTGGCTGGATTGGTGAGGGAGAGTTACAGCCACTCAGCAGCAATTTCCTCAAAGGGGAATAGAGTTTTGTGTCATCCCTGTTTCTCCTTCCCGCAAGTATTTGCTAGTATCCAAATTGGACTCCAAAGCCCACATTGGTAGTATTTTTGTTTTTGTTTTTTAATTGTATTGCTCCAGAGGCTAGGTAAAGGGATCAGGAAGATCTGTATACCCCAATACCAGGTACCAAGGGAATTCTGTTCTCGTATTTTTTTCTAAGCTACTTGTGGTACCTGCTGTTGAAGCAGGACTTATTCTGTCTTGCTTGTCATTTTCACAGGAAGGTCACAGCTTTCAAATTAGACTAGCGTAGAAGTCTTTGTGATGAGAAATCTTGTATTTCCCCAAACAAGTTCATACTTCCAGAGCAGATCCTTTGCTCTTCGTTTGGGGGTATTATTTTTAAGTGAAGATATATGATATTGAATCCCCATCATATTTCTTCCTGCTTTTGCCTTGCTTGACACTGATTTGGCCTTTTTCTAGGCTAAGGAAGCAAAATATTTTTAATTACTTTGAGCATATTTTTCTCCCCAAGGTTTTGATATTTCTGATGAGCTTTGAGGTTCCTGTCTGAATTGTTATTTGAAACCGTATGGATGTTTGGGAATATTTGCTGGATTAATTTTACTGTAGCATAGTTATATGGAATAACTGTGTGAATTGAGGCTTGTGCACTTAGCAGCCTGTATTAGACCTGCACAAAGCAGCTCTGACGCTGCCCTCAGTTCTCAGTTTCACTGTGAGATAAGCATCCTTGGTGGAAGATCCAGTATGTAAATGGTTGGCAATCAAAGACTATCCTGAGCTGGAAAGGACTCACAAGTATCACTGACCCCAACTCCTGGCTCCTAGACCTTTGACCATCTTTGTAGCCCTCCTTTAGACACTCTCTCATAGTTTTCTTAGCCTTCATAAACTGTGGTGCCCCAAACTGCACACAGTGCTTGAGTTGAGGCCATGCCAGCACAGAGCAGAGCGAGACAATCTCTTACTTCAACTGGTAGTGCCTGATGCACCCCAGGGTTGTGCTGGCCCTCCTGGCTGCCAGGGCTCACATTCAGCTTGCTGCTGACGAGAACCCCAGATCCCTTTCTGTGAGGCTGCTCTCCAGCCTCTTATTCCCAGTCTGTACTGATGGCCATCCTGAGAGCAGAGTCTGTCACTTGGCCTTGTTAAGCTTGATATTTAAGGTGATTGCCTCTGATTTGCCAAGATCTGTCTGCAAGGCCTCTCAACCCTTGAAGGAGTCAGCACCTTCTCCCAATTTAGTGTCATCTACAAACTTAGTGTACTTTGAAGTCCTACATCCAAATTGTTTATGAAAATGTTAAGTAGAACTGACCCTAAAATGGAGCTCTGCAGAACAATACTAGTGACTGGCCATCTGCCTGTAAGTAAACTAAGCTGCAAATCAGTTTGGAGTTCATATCTCCTAGTCTTTTGAGGGTAGAATTAATTGGTGTAACCATATTCTAAAACTGTTCTTTCTGACAATTTATGACTAGTGTTTTTTTTTTTTTTTCCCCCAAGTCTTGTATGTAACACAGTAGGCTTTACTACGTTGCTAGTCTGTTTCTTCTCCTTTGCAAATATCCTTTTTATTGTTAGCAGTCTGTTCCGATGCTGCACAATCCCCTTTGGATTGTACTGAGCAGTATTAAATCTCACAGCAGCATACTTTCTTGACTTTGCTGATGTTAAAATAGCAAATGTTTGTTCTAGCTTTTTTTCGTCTATTTATTTCTGTGAGTGTTCTGCTTTAAGCATACCTCATATGTTTTCTGCCTGGAGCCTGCCAAGAACCAAAGCAGGTATTTCAGAGGTCAGCTGTGAACTGCTTGGTTACAAAGACAGTTCTGAAGTAAACTTCAGTAAATAAGCGAGGAAGGAAATGGCCTCTTGACAATGCGTATAACAACACTGAGGAATGCATTTTCCCACAAGCACATTCTGTGGGGAACTGTGGTCAGATGCTGAAAATGGTTTCCAAATTACAGTGTTACTCTCCTGCAGGGGGTGAGGAGGGAGTACCTCCAAATCTTAACTTTATTGCTTCCTTATTCTTCTGATACAATTTCCCTAATGTGAGACTCTGACACTTGCATTTTCTTTGAAATACTAGTTCATTGCAATAGTACTGATGAAGACCAGTCATGAGCTGGGTCATA